TAAAAATCCTATAATATTAATGTTTTGATGAATAGGCCTGTATTTTGCAGAACACAGCCACTTACATGGTCAGAATCATTTCTTTTATTTATTAGTGTACAGTATACAAAAAAACAACAAAAGTATAATAGAAAAAAAGGATGAAACAATGACAATCAAATACAAGCAAAAAAAGAGAGAAAAAAAAGTTGCATCCATGGATTTAGAAATTGGATCTGTTTCTTATTTGACAGCACGTAGTCTATCTATATAGACATACATCTATACATGCATATAAATGAATATTGATGGAATAACACCATCTTTCAGCCTGACAATCTGACCTGTCCTGTTAAAATCCTATTTTTTTAAATGCTGGTTGCAGAGCACAGATTAATCTCTTGCAGCGAATCCCTTCCCTTATTAAAACTCAACACGTCTTCTTCCTTTTTTTTTTCCACAGTGGTGAAGTATCTTTGTCTCTGGTTATCCTTTCGAAGTTAAACAGGATATAAAGGAAAATAACACTGATCTCCTTTCGAAAATGTTTTTATGTAGACACTCCTCTTCCTTTTTGTCCTTTTTATTCTATTTTCAAAGTCGGGAGGATTCATTGGTCCAGGGCCGTCCCTCCCTAAACACTCTTTAGGGTCCTACATCCCACTGGGGGCAACATTTTGCGCATGGTAGCGTATATGCGCAACATCGCACACATGCTATACCGTTAGACAGAAGAGAGAAAAGAGACCTCCTGTAATTAGACCGTGCAACATATTTCAGAACTCAACATCTGACCAATCAGATGGTGTTGTGTGTGCAGGCAGGCTGACTCTTGCTGACAAACAGAAGATGTGATATCAACATGTTGTCCAAGCGACATCATGAAGGTGCACCAGCAAGAGAAGAAAAATGCAAAACACGAGGAAACTTCCCTCGAAGGAGGGTAACTTGTTGAAATACAACTTTAGACATGAACGCCTAAGTTTCCACTCATCAGACAGTTTATAATTCCAGTCTCTGTCTAGAGTGGAGCAGAGGTGGAGTCAGAAAATCCTAATAGGTGTGGCTGAAAGGCCCCAGAACCTCAGGGTCAATCTACACAGTTTCAGTAGGAATAAGCACAACATCCATAATTTTTAAATAAAGAGAAACTATACTTTCCTGCAGCCTTTGCTAACAAATAGACATATATTTAAACATCTATGCTGTAAAATAAAAGGTACAGTGGAAAAATTTTTCATGTTTGAGTTCTGGGGTGAACACATTTTATATTGTCATTACCTACTTTTATCAATAATCAATCTGCAAAAAAATGGTATTTAAATCTACTAATATCCACAATTAATGAATTTTTAAGTCATTATCAAAATAGTTATTTAACTACGATTTCACTGAAGACTCCTACTGTAGATGACCTGCAGAGGCACATCATTTTATCTTTACCCCAAATAATTCAAACTTTAGCTCTGAAAAGAGCATGAATTCTGTATCTATCATCTTTAATGTTTATATATTGATGTGCATAATTAATCACAGTGTTTCTGTTGCCAAGTTATTGATATATGAAAAAAATACATTTTTAAAAGCTTTTAACATCCCAGTTCAGAGTATTACTACTGCCACCATCTGTATTAGAGGGAAAAAATGGTAGTGGTGACCACAGGGGTGGCTAAGGATTGGCTAAGGGTGGCCTAGATAACAATAAACTTTATATTTACTATATATATATAGTTACATAAATACTATAT